ACTAACAAACCCACATGCTGAGGAAGTACCTGATCCAGTAGGTACTCCATAGAAATCAGCTGAATAAACATAATTGTAATTGGTGCCCAGAAATTAAGCTGGAGTATAAACATTTAAGACCAACCGATGTCATAAAAAACCAACGAGATTCTAATAAAGATCATATTTACGTCTTATATACAAGGATTATAATTTTAAATCCATCCCACACTCATAAATCCAATGATGACTTTGGGATTTACAGGTGCCTATATAAAACCCTCTAGAGCAGAATAACTCCTACAAGCCTTCAATCAAAGGTCAACTAAAGCTTTGGGAATTCTAACAAACATATTAACACTCACATTTAGTTTTGAGTTACTTTTCTCTATGCTTTATGTGGGATACCTTTTTGTTTTGCTATAGTTTTATGGAAAAATTATGACAGTCTTATAAATGTCTATTCAAACCACCTCACAAAGTCTTTATACAGAATATAAAAGTCAGCACAAAGGAGGGCAGAACAGTACTTAGAGCTCAAACTAAGAACATGAAACATAAAGGAACGTTTATTATTGCCTCTTATGCCTTGTAACCAGACAGAACAAGTCACAAATTGTCTGAATATTCACAAGATGAATTTTTGCTCTTCTATTGGCTTAAGATTTAAGTGTTTTACAGTTTTTGAACACGAAAGCTTTCTAACACACATTATTTGCTTTATTACTTTCCTTTGAAAAGTCAAGTTTCACCAAAGATAAAACTTATGTAGAAAAATGGACTAAATGCCTAACATTTGATCTTAAGATACTTTTTGGAAAATACTTTTAAATGCAGAAGGGAATATAACACAAACTGTCACTGAGATGTTTTAGTGGCTGAAATGTGGCTTTGGAAATGAAATACTTCTCATAAAGCTCAAAGTCCTCCACTTTCATATTTTTGCCATGTTAATAACTTGTTAGATTTTAATTTCTTGAACATTAACTCCAAGAATAAAAATCATGCAATATTGTGGTAACAATCCAGGGAAAATAAAAACTATGTACCTTCTTAACAATCCTAATACATAAAAACCCAGGGTCCCTAACAACTAAGACGACTGAAAGCTCCACTGAATCCCAGGCTGTGCGCACAGCAGGCTCCAGTGGGCAGGGACTGGCGAGCGGGCTGAAATGCTGAGAGGCGGGGCTGATCAGTGGCTACCTTGGCTGCTGGTGAGGCCCAGAGAGAGAGAGAAGCAGGGTCTGATCCGCAGCCTCGCCAGCAGCCCCGCCTCTCTCTCTCTCTCTCTAAGAGATCAGCAGTGCAGCCTGCTCGCCAGCAGCCTGGGGTGGATGTTGATCAGTCCCGCCCCTCTGATCAGGCCCAGAGATAGACCTGGAGACACTGACTGGCATAGAAACTGACCAATCAGAATTAAATCTGGGTGAATGTGAGGAGCCAATGGCTGCCTAGGAGGCGGAGCTTTTGATGCTGACTGGCATAGAAACTGACCAATCAGAACTTAACCTGGTGAACTGTGAAGGCAGAACCTAAGGTGGGGGCTGAGGAGGGGTTTTACGGGCAATAGCTGTTTGGTGTAAGGTGTAAGAAAGCAGTTCAATTTTTTAATGACTGATTTGGCAGTATAGTGCATATGGCTGGCTATCAGTCCAGATATAGGGATTATTTATTTTTGTCTGCTAAGAGCATCTCCTGCTGAAAAAGGCTTTTCCCACCATTTAAGCAATCCTATCCTATATAATCTATCTATATTAATAAAAGGATATTATGCTAATTAGACCGGGTCAACCGGACAAAGCCATGATAGTGGGGGCTGAGGCAGAGGGAGGGCAGTTGGGGGTGAAATCAGGCTGGCAGGGGGTTAGGGGCAATCAGGCCAGCAGGGGAGGGCAGGTGGGGATGAGATCAGGCCAGCAGGGGAGGGTAGTTGGGGGTGAGATCAGGCCGGCAGGGGAAGGCAGTCAGGGGCGATCAGGCAGGCAGAGGCAGTTAGGGGTGATCAAGCAGTTAGGCAGAGAGGTTAGGGGCGCTCAGGCAGGTGAGCAGTTAGGAGCCAGGGGTCCCATATTGTGAGAGGGATGTCCCCAACTGGAGAGGGTGCAGGCTGGGCTAAGGGAACCCCCCTCCCCCGCCCCGTGCACAAATTTTATGCACCGGGCCACTAGTCTATATATATAAAAACCCTAAGTGACCGGTCTACCGCTCGACCAGTCTACTGTTTGACTGGTCGCTATGACATACACTGACCACCAGGGGGTAGACGGTCAACGCAGAAGATGCACCCTGGTGGTCAGTGCAATCCCACAGTGGGACACCACTCAGATGACCAATGGGCACCAGACGCCGGGCTCATTGTTGGCAAGCGCAGCTGCGGCAGCACGAGCCTCTCCCACCTCCAAGGGAGCACTACTGAGCGATGGCAGAGGCAGGCGCTGTGGGGCCGGAATGAGCAGGAGTGGCATGGCACCTGGCCCAGGCTCAGGCTCCTCCCCGGCCGCCTGCTGCTTCACACACTAGTATATCCCTTAAGAGGTCCCGGATTGCGAGAGGGTGCAGGCAAGGCTGAGGGACCCCACCAGTGCACGAATCCATGCACTGAGCCTCTAGTATTTATCTAATAGTTTCAAAGCAAACACAATTATTCCCAATGGCTTTGAAAACACTGAGAAAAACAAATTAGTCTTGAGGAGGACCAGGATGCTTATACACTTTCTATATTCCTACACCTGTTGTAATAGCCAAGGAACTATTTCCTAAGTATATGATTTCTACAATAATGAAAAGTAAATAGCTAATTCAGGAACAATCCAGAATTTCCAAAATTCAAGTCCACTGCTTGATTTCCTTTTAGTTGATAAATTGCTAAATAATCTAATTTAATTTATAAGTATTTGGAACATTAATAATCAAAATCAGCAGAAACCTATTCATATTTTAACATTTCATGTTCAACCTACATTTTTAGTTAAAATAGAAGAGTTACTGTTTATTAAAACCTAACTGAGGTACTAGGAATTGATCTAAGTCTTTGCAAATACTATTTCATTTAACTCTCAAACAAACCTAGAAAGCAGATGCTCTTATTATCCTCATTTTTCAGATGAAGAAAAAAATGCCCCAAGAAAATCTGAAATGTTCAGGTGTCACATGGTTACGGAAGAGCAGAACTGGCTGGAAGGCAGCCTGCCTTACCCCAGAGGCCTGTTTCTCACTGTCTCCACCACTCACCTCACAGGATGTAACAGACTCCAGAAAATAAACTCTCAAAGTCTAATACTACAAATGGGCTACACAACCAAGTTTAAGGTTTTCTGAACAATGACCACACAGAAGGAAGCGAATAACAGGAAACACTTTTGAAGGACAGTTACATACTACAACCCTGGCTGCCACTTTTCACTATGGAAGATCATGCTCCAAAAAGGTCACAGTGATGGAAAGGAGAGGATTAAAGCCTGGCTGGGTGGCTCAGCTGGAGCGACATCCCGTGCACCAAAAACAGTTTGTGGGTTCGATTCCCAGTCAGGGCACATGCCTCAATCATGGGTTTGATCCCTAGTCAGGGTGCATTCAGGAGGCAACTGATCAATGTTTCTCTCTCACATGCATGTTTCTCTCTCTCTTTTCCTTTCTCTCTCTCTCGAATCAATAAAACCATATCCTTGGGTAAGGATTAAAAAACACACACAATTAAATCACTTTCCACTATGGGAAATCAAGGCCACAGTGATGGTAAGGGTGGGATTAAAAAGTTAAAAATTATATTATACCAGAAACTGCTTCATAATAGGGAAATAAAGTGTTAGGGACTAAAGACTTTCTTATAAGAATTTTATCATACAAGCTGAAAATAATAATAAATCCGTAGATTAAAGCAGACATACCAAATCTAAAATATCACTGAACAAATCCTAAACAGAAAATTAAGACAAAACCAGAGGCTTTAAAATCATCATTTAAACACATGTTAACAAAGTACAAAATAAGTGTGACATCAAAATAAATTGCAGCCAGTTTACAACTACCAACAAAAGAAGGTAATGGCAAGTGAACCCATTTCAACACAGTAACCAGACTATCCTGTGCGCACAGCCTCTCTACATTTGCATTGTAACCAATAGCAGCAGCCGAAAAGCAAAAGACACTCCAGAATCAGCCTGGGTATCTGGAAACTTGGGAGAGATCAGACACTGTGCTAACAAGATCCCCAGTTGTCTCGATGTGTGTGTAAATTTGAGAAGCCCTGGAGCAGAGGCTGAGGCCGATGGGAAAGGGAGGGCTCCTCCCTCTGAGCACTGACACGAATGCTGTCTCTGCCACAAAAAACTTACCTAGAGGCAGCCTGAAGTCTGAAGGCAGAGCAGAGACTAAGGCAGTGATGGCGAACCTATGACACGCGTGTCAGAGGTGACACGCGAACTCATTTTTTTGGTTGATTTTTCTTTGTTAAATGGCATTTAAATATTTAAAATAAATATCAAAAATATAAGTCTTTGTTTTACTATGGTTGCAAATATCAAAAAATTTCAATATGTGACACGGCACCAGAGTTAAGTTAGGGTTTTTCAAAATGCTGACACGCCGAGCTCAAAAGGTTCGCCATCATTGGACTAAGGTCAAGCCCGGCCTTGCCTTGGTGACGGGGAGGATGACCCCAGGTGGGCTGCCCAACAAGTAACAGAGTGGAGAGGGATAAAAAACAAGGAAAATCGCCTGGGATACTTCGGAATAGCCGGTGAATTTTAAGGAGGGCGAAAGTAAGATAGTAATGACTAGTGCAATGAGCGGCCATGCCTAGACCTGCAGTGAAGGCAAAGCAGGGCCAACACCTGCTAACCTGACCGAGGGAGGCCCTACGTGGAAATACGCAGCTCAGCGCCCTGAAGGGGCACGGGCTTTATGTGAACAATGGGTGAGATTTTTTAGCTGGAAACTTCAAGTACGATGTTCTTTGCAGTGAAATTCTTACTCTCTCACTTATTTCATCCGAATTACACACAAACGCAGACACTTACCAACCAAGACAACAAGTCTGTATTTCTCATTCATTTGTCGCCGATATGGGGTTACTTCCTCATATGTGGGTACATCAGCTGTATCATATTGATCACTCTTCTTACATTCATACATGGTTTTATTTGTTTTCTTATCTTTTCTACTTAGACGGAAACTTCTTCTAAAACCAGCTGTAAACAGAAAAAAAATTATTTCTAGTAATAAGAACTAAAAAAAGAAACCCCCTCAAAAAACAAAAATAAAAAACCCTCAAAGTTGCATCAGATTTTTGTTACACCATATTATTGTTACAAGTGCACTTAGTAAGAGAATAAAAATAGATGCTACACAGTTTCATTAAAATAACAATTGATAAGATAATTACCTAACATTTAAATATATAGCTATAATGACATAAATTTTATTTGGTTCTAAATCATAGAGTTTTCTTCAGAAATCAACGAGTAAAATAACTGTTATAAAGCAAAATAAGGAAGTCAGAAAGCATGAGGATAATTTATCATGGACTGAATGATGAACACATTTGATAAGAAAAAATTAAAAGCACTTTAAAAACATTTTAAATATAAACGATGGATTCTCTCATTCATAAACACTGGAATATTTCATGTCATATTCTAAGCATAGCCTAACAACATACCTGGGGCACAGACAGGATCTACTGTTAAGAAAGAAAACTAAATTAGGGAAAGCATAATGTCAAACAGGCCTATGCGTGGGATCAGGCTGATAGATCTAGCCTGTTCCTAAAAGCAAGTTATTTAATTCCCATGAGATTCCAGGGGAATGGAATCATGGACCTAGCTGCCTCACGTCTTCTTCTATGGAAACTATATGTTTTTACTAGTATGATCTGAAGCCTACTGAAATTTGAAAATGTTTCATAGTTTCAATTGTGTACTCATCAACAGGTCATATAATCTTTTGCTAAGATAAATTTTTAAGTATTTAAATAAATGCCATGTCTGCTTAAAGCATCCTCTCCAACTCACTGCTATCACTTAACACGTGGGCTTAAAAAGCTCAGCTAGAGTTCCTTTCCTCAGTCAATTCCCATTTTATTCTGATTGATTTTCATGTTGTTGCAGTATTCTGGTTTTATTTCTTTTCTAGAATAGTGACATTTACCATATGCATCATTCAAGAACTCATAAGCTGTGCAATCAACTCTTAACCAAACCAACCTTTATACGCTCTCAAAAATCCAGACTTTAAGACAGAGAAAACAACCTACTTATCAAAACATATAGTATATTCTGCATCAGCTCTATAGTACAAAACAATATATATGTATTATATATCTATTTTAAAGACTTTTTTACATTACTCTTTTTTAAAAACATATTTTTATTAATTTCATAGAGGAAGGGAGAGGGAGAGAGAGATAGAAACATCAATGATGAGAGAGAATCATTGATTAGCTGCCTCCTGCAAGCTCCCCACTGGGGATCAAGCTGCAACCCAGGCGTGTGCCCTGACTGGGAATTAAACTGTGATCTCCAGGTTCACAGGTCAACACTCAACCACTGAGCACACTGGTCAGGCCAAAACATAAAAAAAATATTCTCTTTAAAAAGAATATTGAGTTTGACACAGAGAAAACTTTAAAAATAAATCTATTTTTATAACAAAATATAAGACTATAATAACTAATCTGTGTGAATTTCAGGGAACATAAAGAAAAAGAATAATTATTAGCATTGGATTTAAGAAGTTAATAGGATTCCAAATAAAGGCAATATTAAAAAACAATTATCAATGACTAGGGAGTTTCAGCTTAATAAAAATCAATCAACATACTGATATTGAATGAAAAAATAAATCTGATAATATATTCCTGTGGACCACCAAGTCTCATTCTGATTTTGAGGAAATACTCAGATTATTTGAGGGGAAACATTTACAAAGGATTTGAAATGAGGAAGATAATTGCTCTAAAACTCGTTGATCAAAAAGATAAAGAGAAAAAAGTGAACAGGATAAGTGGTATAAAACACATTGGTATTTTATATAAGACTAGAGGCCAGGTGCACAAAAATTTGTGCACTTGGGGGGGGGGAAGGGGGGTCCCTCAGCCCGTCCTGTGCCCTCTCGCAGTCTGGGACCCCTCAGGAGATAATGACCCGCTGGCTTAGGCCTGCTCCCGGGTGGCAGAGGGCAGGCCCAATCCCTAGGTGCAGCCCCTGGTCCGGCTCAGAGCAGGGCCGACTGGGGAGTTGGGGCGCCGCCCCCTGTCATGCACAGAGCAGGGCGGATCGGGAGGTTGCGATGCCACCCTCAGTCACGCTCAGGGTAGGGCTGATTGGGGGGTGGGGCACCGCCCCCTGTCACACTCAAGGCATGGTCGATGGGGAGGTTGTGGCGCCACCCCCTGTCACGCACAGAGCAGGGCTGATCAGGGGGTTGGGGGCGCTGCCCCCTGTCACTCACAGAGCAGGGCCCATCAGGGGGGTTGGGGCTCCATACCCTGTCACATACAGAGCAGGGTCTATCAGGGGGTTGGGGAGCTCCCCCCTGTCATGCACAGAGCAGGGCCGATAGGGGAGCTGGGGCACCGCCCCCTGTCACACACAGAGCAGGGCCCATCCAGGGGGGTTGGGGCTCCATACCCTGTCACGCACAGAGCAGGGCCGATCAGGGTGTTGAGGAGCTCTCCCCTGTCACTCACAGAGCAGGGCCGATAGGGGAGCTGGGGCACCGCCCCCTGGTCACAACACAGAGCAGGATGATCCAAGGAGTTTGGGCGCTGCA